AAGCCCGCTTGATGCCTGTTTCATTCGGAACTGATTGGTTCGGAATCCATCAGGCCATTCTGATTTTGCCATCCCTAGATGAACTGCCCTTGGAGTAGTTGTACATGTTCGGAGCAAGTTAGTGCGTGGGTCAGTTAATAAAGATAGCTGGGTTATTGTTAAGCTGGATGGATTTGCTAATGAAGAACGGTTACAATAAATGTCATGAAAAAGCAAAGATAAGTAAATAATATAACCAGATTGGATAATGGTAATTGTTACTTGAAATCTATAATAGAAGGTTAATTAATTTCAGATTAGGTTGCCATTAATAAAACATGAAAATAAATGTGAATTCAGTATCTTTTTTTCTTAAAGAATATGACTGATGTTTAATGTGTTCATGCGTGTTCACTGTTATGATGTCTTGGCTTTTTGACCTAGGATAAATACAATTACCAATAAAAATGTGAAATGATTTACTCTTATGTTTTCCAATGACTTAGGTTCAAGACCTCCTCTTGGACTGTGGACTCGAAATTGTTGCGGAAACTCTTATTGAAGGTCTATCCCGAGTGAAGCGTTGCACTAATGAAGGACGAGCTCTCATGTCATTGGACCTTCAGGTGTTGATTTATATTTCGATAAGAAAATCCAACATGTTTATTGTGATCATCTTGCTTGTCTATCTGTTTTAGTAACTAACCTTTTTTACTTTTCCCCATTCAGGTTTTAATCGATGGCCTACAACACTTTGTCCCCTTGAACGTGAAGCCAAAGTTACAGATTGTTGAAACTTTCATCAAGGTAACACCATAGTTAACATGTTCTATTCAGAAATTGATACTTGATTTGTATATGGAGGATTAAGTTCAGTCATTCTCTTCAGGCTTATTATCTCCCCGAAACTGAATACATACACTGGGCGCGAGCTCACCCGGTAAGAAATGTTCTCGCTACAGAAAAATAGCAATTGCTTTTATTATCATTATTATTATTCACTTGTTAGTCACAGAAGCCTGAAAATAATAACTTTGGGAATGCAGGAATACAGCAAGAATCAGATTGTGGGGTTGATAAACCTTGTCGCTACCATGAAAGGTTGGAAAAGAAAAACCAGGTTGGAAGCTCTGGAAAAGATTGAGTGAGGTGGTATGTAGTCAATCAACCTTGAAATTAAAATGTAAAGTTTCACACACTGATAAAAAGTCTTTTTTGGTCCTTTGTAACAAAATTATGTATATCCAATGGTGTTCCTTGATCCCCCCTTCATTACAATGAGTGCAATTAAGGTTGTATATCTTCGGATGTCTCTGTTTGTAATACTTGTGTTTCTCTTAATATCTAATGCAATCTTGAATTAACACGTGATGTTAATAATGAGCTGTTTTTGTGTTGAGAGTTGAGACTCATTGGCTTGAAGTTCTGCCATGTAGATATATATTGCTTCTACTAATATCATCATATTAAATAGGGTTGATATACATTTGATACCTTGGTTTCAAAGTTCAATTTCGTGCTTAAATTTAGCTTAAAGATTCAATTTGGTATTTAAGATATTTTCTGGTATAAATTATTAAATACTTAATTAAAAATATAAGTACTAGTTGTGAAAAAAACTTAAAAATTAAGTGTATATATTAATTTGAAAAAAAAATAAAGTTCAGGCATCCAATTGAAATAAAAAGTATCAAATTGAATCCTGAAGTCAAGCTTAAGCAATTAACTGAATGAAAAAACTAGATATTAGATTGAATTTTAAAGTTAAGTTGAAATAAAGTTACATATATATACTCTATTAATCAAGACATTGATAACTTTCTTTTAAATTGGTGGGGTAATTCTTTTATAGAAAATATCATTGCACTAAGTGAAGAAAATAAAGTAAAATTTTAATAGTTGTGCATAATTTTATAAACATAATTATTATTGAACATAATTTAATAACCATTCATTCAGTCATTCTATTTTTGTTATTGTTGTGGCCTCCTAATGATAAAATTCTGAAGTTGGTGTCTAGAAAATGAGTTTAGGACCAAAAGTAAAAACTATAAAATTAGTGTATAAGAAGTGGGTTATGGTATAATTGGGTGTCAGTTAATCTTCAATGTTAAAAATCTAGAAGATAAACGGAAGTTTTAATGTAAAAATAGGGATATCAAATGCAAGTAATAACTCTTTTAAAGTGATATTTTAGTGGTGGCTCAAGCCGGGAAAGATGCCTTCCAAACCTTCCACCCAGGCTCTAACCAAATAACTTAAATAGCGGTATGCGACCGTGATAGCGTTCACGAAATAGTGATAGCGTTGCTTTTCGATATATGTGCTATACCTGTAATAAAGTTCACTATGGTCGCAATATTATCCGCTATGGCCGCAATAACAGTAAACAAGACACGACCGAAAACACAACCACGCCCGATATTTGAATCCTGCAAATAACTACACTAAAAGCCGAATATAAGGAAGCAAGGATCAAATAGTGGACTAGAATTTAGTGAGGGGCGTTCCCTTTGGGACCAAATGCCTCAACTTACGGACTTGGCTGCATCCCATCCATCGCAGTAGCAGGTAATTAAATTCAACATGTATTTTATGTGTACCCTTCAAAACAAAAAAACAAAAGAAGATAAGTGAGGGAAACTGCTTGTTAAGTACCCTTTGCCTTTATACTCCCTTCTCAAATTTCTACTTGTCCAAAACTGTTTCTTTCTTTAGTTTTTACAGTCGGCAATGGAGAAAAATAACAAATTTTATAGTTTCAGTACCAAAAAACTACGTAAGTGATTTCCCATTAATGAGATGAGGCGGTGAGATATAATATATATATATATATATATATATAGAAATTGAGTGAGATTTATTTAGGTTATGAATTATAACGTGACAAGGAAGTGTATAGTACATGTCTCTGTGGACGGTGGAATTATTTTCCAAGTGAAAAACGGTATCCAATGTCCGTAGTTGTAGATGCAGACAAGCGCAAGAAAGATACATTGACATGACAGGTGCACAGAGACACTCTTTCAATCCCCTCAAAACAGTTACTAGTAATTTCCAAATTTAACATATTAAATTCGAAATATAAGTATATTATACTTGTTAGATTCTCATTAAATCAACATATATATATATATATATATATACTCACAACATTGTTTCTCTCCATGAAAATAGATTTTTTGCTATCGAAATGCATGAAAAATAGGTTTTTTATGGTTTAAAATTTTTCTATTTAATGGTAATTTAAATTTTTATAAATTTAAATATATAAATTAGGTTTATTTTTTAATTTTAAACTAAAATATTTAATAATTTTATATGTTAAAAGTTCAATAATTTAATACTTTTAAACATGGACGGAGGGACGCATGATTTATGTTAAGAAATAAATTCTTAAAATTTTAGGAAGATAAATTTATAAAATTCTTTAGGATGAAAATAAATTATCAATAAAAATATCAAAAGTATATGATAATTTAAAATTTTGAGGTGACGACGGTCTTTAGTTTATTCATTCAGTCCATTCTTACTTTCAATATTTGATCTTGATTCTATCTCATATAATTAATGTTTAAAATACAGTTGATCAATTATTAGATGATAATTATTTTTTTAATAGTCTGTGGTGATTACAAGGTAATATGTGTTCAGAATTTTTTTAATTTGTTGACAACGTACACATTCTACAAACGACACTGCTCGAATCCAAAACCCCTAGGGAGATCATGCCCATTTTTAAGACTTTGATGATCTGTGGATGAATATAAAAATTGAACTCCTAATAATAAGTATTAAAAATAAAATTTAATTAAGAGTAAGAAAAAAAATTAATTTACTTGTAAATTATATTTTTATTATGCTTAACAACATATCTAATGAATACATCAAATTTTACATAGAATATATTTGTCATAATATCAAAATTGACTCATAATGTTCACCTAAATGGTCATTTTGGCTTTTATTCTTTTTCTTATTTTTTTAAGCATTTTGGCCTTTAATGTTTCATTTTAGGATAAAAAAAATCCTTCAAGGTTTGACAAAATAATCACTTTGGGCCTTATTCTTTTTTCTGAAGCATTTTTCCCCTCAACATTTTATTTTATGGTAAAACCCCTATCTGGAGTGTTAATTGTTTCTTAAATAATGGTTTCCTTTCACATAGAGATCTTTTTGTCTCAAAATGAAATGTCAGAGACAAAAATGCTCAAAAAAGAAAGAATTGGATCAATATGACTATTCAGTTAATTGTTATGGACACCTTTTAATATTATGCCAAAACATCAAGAATTTTTTTTTAACACTCAAGTAATTACACAAAACAACCATGCCCTCTTTTAAGAGGGTCAAGATTCGATTTCAGTCATCTTCATATTGTTAAAAGAAACTATTTAGTTGAAATTTTAAAAATACCACGTCAATATCATCGTTAATTTTTTAATGGTAGGTTACCGAAATAGAAACAAAATGTAATGTTAAATATGATCTAAAAGATAATATTTGAACAACCAAAATAAAAATGAAATAGTAGATAATGATAGATAGATAATTTTTCTTTTAATTATAGGGTTTAGGGTTTTCAGTTTTAGCTTAGGGCAAGTGTCCTTTTTGTCCAGTCTCAATTACGATACAAAAAGAGATGAACATTCTTTTGCAATTAACGGCTTTTATAATTACTTTTACATGTGTTGCCGTAGTGAAGTTAGAGTAATAGGGAAAGAATCAAAGGGCGATCCTAATAAAAGTCAATTTATAACCATTCGTTGTTGGGATCTGAGATGTGAGTATATACTCCAAGTTTCCCCTTCTTTGCAGTTACTCTTAGTGGAACATTCATTACAAAAAGATCACAGCCTTGTCGTGATAAGAAAGAAGCTTCAATGGTTAAATTCCAAAGGTAGAAATAACGTGGAAAAAAGGGTATACAAACAAATGAATGTGCCAAATTTGAGTAGACCTTATATATATATATATATATGTTCTTTCAAAAAGATAAGAAAGAAACAAGGGACCGCAAATTTAAAAAAATCCTCTCGACCCAATAACGAATCTTTTGCTATAGAGTTAGCTTCGTCAGCTCCATGTCCAAGGATCACCATGAAAATATTCTTCAAGAAGCTCTGCAAAAACTTGAAGAACACCAACAAGAAGGAAAAGGAGGAGGTTTGGGAGCGAGGGAAGCTGATGAAGAAGAAGCAAAGGAAAAAGAAGAGTGCAAAACGCCGACGTCGAGTGATCACAAAATACCCAGCATTCAAAGCTGCCCGCCGACACCGAAGAAGAAAGTGAGAGCAGATTCTGTCCTCAAGAGGAAGTTATCGGAGCTACAGTTCTTCGAGACCACGAGAAGGGACGAGGTAGAGTCGTTTTTCCGATCCAACACTGAGCCATTTAGTTTCAAGAGGAGATGTAGAAGTGCTTGATGAAATATTTATTTAGTTTTGAATAAACCCATCAGGTAAAATATGTCACCATGTAAAGCAATTCCATTTTCACTTTAAATTGCGTAACACTTGTTATTTATTATCTTAAATTATGTGATATATATTATATTAACAATTTAATACATGTAGAAATAACGTGTTAGTATTAATATACATTAATTGTTAATTAGTTAACAATTTTTATATACCATGTATCATTTTGACAAAAAAAAAGAACTTTTCAAAAGAAAATCATTTAAAAAAATGAAACTAAAATATCATTTAAATAAATATTGAAAACTAATTTTAATATTATATCACTTTTTTTTCACTATAGTTTTAAAATCATAAACAGGTTGGATCAAATTTATATATAAATAACAATGAATCATATTATGTTATCTTAAAATAAATAGTTTGCTGTAATGTTTATGATCCTTTAAATATGTGTCATTGTTATCTTTAAAAGTATATATAAATAAACTATTTTTGCATCACTTTTTCAAGATTTATTGTGCTAAATAATCAATTAGCTAGATCAACCTTTTATATATACCGAACACGTAGAATTCCTTTTTTTTTTATATATTGACGGTACAAATTTTTAACTTTATCGGTAGATTTAAAAAGTATGATAATTTAGTCGTACTATATGTTATCTATGTATGTTTTGCCCATTTATTAACTGGTAAGAAATAGCTCTAGCTTAGCAAAAAGCCTAATGAGGACAAGCTGTTTTGACATCTTTTGTTGGTATGATTTGGCCATGTTATCAAACTATTCTTTCTGTACATGCTGTTGCCTAGGGTTTCACAATCATATCGCATCACATGTGTAGCATTTTTATGTTCTTTTAAGAGCAAGTTATAACTTATAAGATGGTATATTAGTGTGACATTATTTTAAATCCGGATTAATTGAGTTTTATTAGGGGGTTTCTTTTATTATGTGATTGATTGAAATTCTTAATAATCAAGTTTTATATTTTTGAGATGATATTGTCATGGAATACTCAAGGTTTTGTCTCTCTCTGCTCTTTATGGGTCTTAGGAAACACCTTAGAAGGGAAGACATAGTATGTAAAACATATAACATTGAACGTGATGTACTTCTAGATATTCAGACGTCACATATTGATCCAATTAAGGATTTGACGATGGCAGAAATTAAATTACAAAGATTGACAGAAAAATTAAAAGATTAAATTAAGGTTAAAACAGGTAATTACAAGTTTCGACCAAACATAGAAAAGATATCTCAACAAACTTTATTTTGTTTTCTTTTTGGAAGCAAATCGAGAGCATAGCATGTGGTGTGTCCTTGTCAAACTTTCCCATTATAATCTATATGAATTAGATGCAGTAAACCCAGATTTTCTTTTCACCCACTTTTACCGTAAAATTGGATTTTTGATAAGCTAAAATAATGAATTACCCTAAATTACGATGGAACTGTTGCAAAAGTGGTAAAAGAAATGAGAGGTGGGGGACAAGAGCGTACCCGCCACTCTAAAATGTTGCATTTAATCCCCGGCCCCGTCTTTGGGTTAGATTTTCTGGGGCCAATACTGTAATTTGGAAAGATATCAAGTATGTCGTCTCTCTGCCGTTTGAACACTCGCCATTTTCCTCCCGAGTTTTCCCATTCTATTTGTTATGATACGAGGCATTGGAACATAGATTCTCAACGCCTTGGATTCTGATGTATATAGGGAATTCTTTTATCGTTTTTTGATTTGTATTCACACTAAAGGGAGGAGTAGGGTTATGACAAATCTTTCAAAATGCCAAGTAATGTACCTTCCCTGTGCTTTTCTTTTTTGTATTTTTTTATTCTCTAGTAATTGACAAGAAAACGTGCCCAATGCATGTCGGATATATGGCTTTTGTTATTCCTTTTACAATGTTTTTGACTATGCCACACGCATGCTTCATATACGAATGAACTCATTGCCATCATGCAATGCAAAATACTGGTAAACTATTTTTCTCTACGTTGTCACAGTTTCTCATCGTAATGGATTATTAGATTTTGAGTTGGATTTTCAATTCCCGAGGAACAATCCTGTAAGAAAACTGGCTGGAGATTCTTTTCCAAGACATTGCACTGTTGCAGTTGCAAAGGAAGAAGAAGATAACTGGTGTTTGTGTGGAAAAGTTAAGCCAGAGAATCAAGCAATAAGGATTGTTGTATTACCTAAATTGGACTAATTTATTTTGTGGTTTAATGTAAATCGAGTGATTAGTAATAACAGTTGTTGGATGGATGGTGGCCATACTTTTAGGGTGCAAGCCTCGTCGGCCCATTAGCAATTTGTAAGTACAGGACTCTTCAGTTGGGATTTCCCAGGAAGCCTCCGATGATAAGAAAACAACTTAACCTCGTTGCAGTTTAAGCAATTACATGAGATTCACTCTATGAGAAGAAGCAATTTTAATGGTGGATCGAATGAGAAAAAATAAAACTTGGAGGATATCTTGTTCTAATAATTTATTTTCCTCAATCATATTTTATATCAACTTATAATTATATTTAAATTGTATTATGTTTATATAGAATTATGATATATTTATTATTGATTTACTTGCTCATATTATTTTATATTTTATTTTAAATAGAAAAATAATTGGCAATCAGTTGATCTAGTGGGATGAGGCACTAGGTCCCTTAAGCAAGATCAGGGATTCGAACTCTGATGTTTGCGAATGGAGCAAATTGAGTTGGGAGGGTTGCTCTTACCTCTGCAGTACCCGATCTGGATTAGTCAGTCAATAGATCGGATATCAGTAATTAATTCAAAAAAATAAAAATAAAAATAAAGCATAAATTAAAGAAACAAAAATATTTTATTTTGTGTGAATCTTAGCGAAAGGAAAGAAGTAGAACTATGTTTGTTTTATATTTTTAATGTTTATAGATAACAAATAATCATAGTAGATAATTCAATTATCATTGTCAAACAGTAGTCAAACAATCATCGTATATCATTGATCATAATTTAAAATAAAATTAATATTAAAATGTTTACATTTTATTTTCTAAAATTAACATTTTATAAAATTTATTTACTATTGATAAACTTTTCATCTAAAGATATGATATTTTAACATTATAATCTATGTTTCCTATCATTAAAATTTTCAAAGAGAAAAGTATCAACTTCAATGAGTAATAGATCTTATGTTTTATTCCATCGATAAAGAGATTTAAAAAAATCAAATTGACAGAATAATAAAAAACATTAAAAGAAATTTAATGATGTATAAAATAATAAAAGATATTGAAAGGAATTTAATTATGTATAAAATGATTGTAAAAAAATATTTGAAAACTATGATTTTCAATTATGTTTAAAGATAAATAAAACTTCTGATTTTAATAAAAAAGATAATAGAGTAAAAATAATTTATTTTTTTTACTTTTACATCAATACTAAATTGTTACATCATCCGGCGTTCTTGTGTTATAATTAGATTAATTGAAAATTCAATAATAAATATAATACTAAGTTTCAAATTTAGTGGTACTGGATGAAGTTTACCCTTTTCTTATTACTATTATAGTCCCTTCATTGAGGTTGCATTGAGGAATCCAACCGTTCACCTTATTTCCAACAACAACAACAATACCCTATTTTCATATGGGAGGTAGGGTAATAGGTTGTCCCCAAACGTCAAATTTAAGAGCAGTTTTCGTATAAGACCTCCGACAATCAGAAAATTAAAAATAAAATAAAATACAATACATATATAAATAAATAGAATAAATATATAACTGAATACGCGTCTTTAATGAAAAATAATTCTGGTAAATAAATCTCTGCGCGTCCACCTTATCTCCGTTATCTATAATTCCTTACATAATAATTTATTTAACATATCAGCTTCCCTTTCACTCGAAAAAAAAATCAACAAAATCAGAGCAGAGCAGAGCCGAGCAAATCACTGACCTCAAATGAAATCCTACCACCGGAAACTCTTCCTCTACTATGACTCTCCCTACTCCGCTACCACCACCTCGTTACCGCCGCTCCAGCTCAACGCCACCTAATGTCCGCCGTCTTCATCCAAAAAGCTACCTCTGCACAACCCTCCTTTTGACTTCTCCATGGCTCTTACCGTAGTTGTTCTTCTCACAGCTGTCTTCTTCATGGGATTTTTCTCCATTTATATTCGTCGTTTCTCTGAAGACCCAGCGGTTCATCTCTCTCGTAGACGACGTTACCGTGGTGGCCCACTTAACTCATTGCCGTTCCCCTCTGAACTTCACCGTGTCTCGGTTTCAATTAAAGGACTTGACCCAATAACCATTCTATCGTTGCCGGTATATTCTTACCATGGGAATGCCAAGTACCAGATAGATTGTCCCATTTGTCTGAGCGAGTTTGAAGAGAAGCAGTGTCTTAAAACGATACCGCTTTGCAAACATGTTTTCCACGTCGAATGTATAGACACGTGGCTTTCTTCCCACGTCTCCTGTCCCGTTTGTAGAGGGACCAGATTGTTCGAGAGCATGAACGGCGGCGGTGAATTGGGTGTAATGCAGGAGAGGATTGATCAGTGTGTGAGTCAGTCATCTACGGTTGAGATCAGTGATACGTGTACGGTGATGGAAACGACACCAAGGATGAGGAGAGCGAGTAGCTGTTCAAGTGTACAGCAACGACGCATGTTGCGACGAACGTTGAGCTTTTGATGCTTACAAGTTCCGATGCGACTGACAAGCACAGGATGTTAATAAAAAATTAGTACATAATTATCTGTAATTATGCAGGTTTCGAGGTAAATCTAGGGGCTTCTAGATTGTTATATTTAATATTTTGTTTTTAATTTGCTTTCTATAGACACATAATACAAGAACAATAAAAGGGTGTTTAGTTCAAGTTACGTGAGATTTATATTGAAAAGGAATTTTATTTCTGATAATATTTTATTATTAATATTGAATTTTTTGGATATATTATCGGGAATATCATTATCTTCATTTCTTTAAATATTATTAGATTATCGGCGATTTGGACTAAAATGTCTTTAATTTTTTCTTCTTCAAAAATATCATTATTATGTCATTGAATAATAAAAATTATACGAATGTTAAATTATAAATTTATCCTTAAACTATTTTAGATTTACAAAAAAAATCTATAATTAAAATTTTATATGAAGTTCAGGGGTTAAAATAAAATTTTACCCTTTCATTAAATTTTTTTATATTTTTAATTTTGTAAAAAAAATTATATAAATTAAATTTTTTTAAAGAAAATATATAAATATTTTTTAACTTATTAAAAAATAAATATATAATAAGAACAATTTAATCAAATATACATTCTAATAATCTTTTATTCCTTTAACCAAACACAGTAATCTTATATTCCTGCTAAACCAACCAAACACAAAATACAACATTATCAATAATCATATTCTCTGGTAATCTTTTATTCTCACGAGTAATCTTACATTCCGTGAATCAAACACACCCTAAAGTGCATAAAGCGATGTGGCATTTAGGGAATCTCATTAAGGAAAGCAAAATCCTTGTACTTTATCAACTTCTATTATTCTTAATATTTTTTATTGATTAAATAATATTCGAAAATAATATTCGAATAAGACTAAAATCTCCAAAATAAGTAAAAACACAGTCCAACAATCCGCATCAATTACAATAAATGATTTTACACCCGATTTAGTATTATATAGGGACGAACATAAAAATTTATGTTAAGGTATAAATTTAATAAATTATATTAGAAATGTCAGGGGTGTGAACTTATAAAATGTCAATGTATGCGAAATTAGATAATTAATAAATATATATATATATATATGATATAAATAAATTTAAAATTTCTAAGGTACGATCACATCCAACAACCCTGGTCCATCATGGTGGTATATAATGAATTCAACAAGATGGATTTTATGTTTCAACCATTCACCCGATTTATGTATTCATCTAATGGAGGCCCAAGAAAGGTGAAAATAAAAGCAATGAGAGGAAGGAAAATAAAACTGATGTATATAAGTTCTCTATGGTTTTTCTAATTTTCTTTTGGTTTTTCTTATTAAATACATAAATATTATTGATTTGAACATTTTCTTCCATCATGGACCAACTCATTGGCACATTTCGAGCATGTGCCCGCATCTGTAACAATATGATACAGGAATGATGAAAACAGAAAACTGAAGGCCTCGGAATTATGAAACTTGAGGATCAGTTTTGAAGACCTGTGCAGTAATGAACCAATATTGCCTTCACAACATATACAACAAATTCCTTTCCTGACATTTTCCCATTCAGACACATCCTTCGGCAAGTTTTCATTGATCATCCCTGTAATAGAACATCACAAGAATATGAAACAAACCAGCAAGAGAAAATTTCGGCTTATATATAAACAGAACAAGAAAATTATATCAGTGACACGTCGAATGTATTGACACGTGGCTTTCTTCCCACGTCTCCTGTACCGTTTGGACCAGTTTGTTCGAAAGCATGAACGGCGGCGGTAGCGATGAATTGGGTGCAATCCCGGTGAGGATTGATCAATGTGTGAGTCAGTCATCTACGGTCGAGATCAGTGACACGTGTATGTTGATCGAAATGATACCAAGGATGAGGAGAGCGAGCAGCTGTTAAAGTTTACAGCAACGACCAATGTTGCGACGAACGTTGAGCTTTTGATGATTACAAGTTCCATTGCGACTGACAAGCAACGGATGTCAATAAAAAATTAGTATGTAATTATGCGGGTTTCGAGGTAAACAAGTTATTACTGGGCAAATTTACATGCATTTCAAGCTTCTAAAAGTTTTTGGCATTTACTATAAGCATCGTTTTGTGTGCATATAGTTTCTCTTCTCTCTTGTATATACATTTTGGCAGATCTACAGTTGTCTGTTCTGGGTCTTGCAAATGAGACATATGCAGGAACCACAAATGTCAGCCTTCAGAAACTTCTTCAGCGCAAGGAGCGATTCTGACCTGATAACTCGAAGTCAATACATCAAATGGCTCGACCCTAAACTTTTAATTTGGCTTCAAGTTAAAATCAATTAAACTCAATATCTAAATTATACACAACACAACAAATTAAAAAACTATATATATATATATATAGTCTCAAAAGGAATTCAAAGAGGTACACGTATAGCATGGATGTTTAGCCGGTTTCATTTTTCCAACACACTAAATTAAGCGGCCA